ATCAGAACAGAAAGACTCATAGATACGGAGAACTTTCTATTAGTTGCCAGATGGAAATGGGGTTGGGGGAATAGGGGAAAATGGTGAAGGGATTAAGAAGTACAAATTGGTTGTTAGACTGATGAACTTTTTTTTTTTTTATTTATTTTTTTATTTTTTTTAATTTTTATTTTATTTTATTTTATTTTTTTTAGTCTTCATCCGAGGACATTTTTTTTTCCATTTTTTGTACAGAGTGGGAGGGAGAGAGAGGAAGAGAGAGAGAGAGAAACATCGATGTGAAAGGGACACATCGAGTGGCTGCCACCCGCACGACCAACCAGGGCCGGGGACAAACTGCAACCGAGGTACATGCCCTTAGCGGGAACCGAACCCGGGTCTCTCCGGACCGCAGGCGGATGGTCTAACCGCTGAGCCAAACTGGCCAGGGCAGACTGATGAACTTTATAGGGAAGGGGGGAGAGGGGATGGGAAGAGAAAACTAAAGAACTTATATGTACAACCAATGGACACAGACAATAGTGTGGGGAAGGCAGGAGGGGGGCAGGAGTGGTGAGGAGAGGGGCAGTGGGGGAACAAGGGGGAACACCTGTAACACATTCAATAATAAAGTTAAGTTTTAAAAACAATGATGGCTGGAGGGTAGAAGAGATAAATATGAACCAAGTATCAAAAAAAGGAATCTAGTCATGACAGGAAAGAGAAGGTAGGCTTCTCCATGGAAGTGAGTCTTGGCTTGCACTGAGATCCAAAGGATGTGATATCTCTTAAGAACCTCATGTTCATCAGGACCAAGGTCAATATCCCAAACTTGTCCTCCTGTGTTCCTAGCTCAGTTAAGGATACTGCTATTGGCACAATAACCTGGTTATTATTTAATAGGAAAGGAATAAAGGGAAGATCAGACAATTTAGGCATATCATTCATACAGCTTCACCAGGAAGCTAGCAATGAACACTCCAGTTCTATTCCGAGTGGGGAAGGGTCTGGACAAAGGTAGTTTAGAAGCGCGGCCAGGAGGGTCTGAGTGACATGGGAGGTGCCTACCTGTCCCCTCACACCCGGGAGCTAAGTCAGTGGCCAAAATAGGCATGGCCACTGCAAAGGAGAGAAACCCGAATATTTAATCTCCTAGATAAAGGAGCTCCCACTCTCTCTCTCTTGCTGCCCCTGCCAGACTGCTTGAGGGGCTCCCAAGCCTGCATTTCCCCAGGTGGCACGCAGCCATGTGGAACCCATACAATACACTAACAGACTGAATCTGGACTGATCCTAATCTGGACACAGCTACACCAGAGAATGGACACTCTGGACTTTGGCTTTATTTCTGGCCTTGCTAAACCTACAACTGCCTCTCTTCTAGAACTTGACTGAGAGACATGGGACTTTACAACCCCAGAAGTGTAATTCCACGCCAATAAAAACCATCCATTCTCCCATGAGGGCTTCTGAATATGTTTATTCTGATTGTGCCTCAAGTGTTGGAGTGATCTGGCCCCTTTTCCCCTCCAGTGACAGTACCACTGTCCATCAAGTCATGCAGGTTAGAAACACAGGAGGTATTCATGATATCTGCTTCTGTTATGCACATTATATGATCGTTTGTTATCCAAACCATCATATAAACATTAGGTAAAGAATAAAGCATTCCAGGCAGAGGGAACAACATATACAATAGTTCTATGTTGAAAGACAGCATGGTGTATTCTGTAATTACCACCTTTTTCTCTCTCTTCTTTTTTTCCTCGAACTTCTTTCCTTTTTTTTTCCATTCTTTAACTATTATTTTTTGCCTTTCTTTCTTTCTTTCTTCTTTCTTTCTTTTTTTTTAAATTTAAAGACCTTGTCTCTTGACAAGGAAGAAGAAGGGGCTAGATCATGATGGGTTTGGTAGTCACATAAGAATTTTGTTCTTTATCCTAAAAGCAACTGACAGGTCTGAAGCAAGGAAAGTGACAGATCAGATTAAGGTTTTGAAAAGAGCATTCTGGGTAGAATTAAGATTTGAGAAAACTAGAATATAATGAGACCAGAAAAAAAGTCTAGTGCAGTCTTTCAGGTGAGAGGGGGTGGTACTTGGAATAGGGTAGCAACAGTAGACATGGAGAGAAGTGGATGGTTTTAGTGCTAGCAGAGATGAAGCCAGTAGAAATTGATGATATTGGTGGGAATTCTCTCCTAGGTCAATGTTGTTAGGAATGATCTAGTTGAAAGAGAATGGCTGAATATACAGGAGAGAAATCAGATAACTGAGTATGTTTCATAATAGTAGTGCCATTAGACCTAGGTAAGGACCCTCCTACTGCTGCAAAGGGCAAGGTGTCTATGAGGTAAATGGGTTCCCGAAGCCTGCACTCCCCTTTCATACTGGCTAGATTTGAGGGCAGACCTACTTGCTGATTACACATCACTGTTTACAGGGGGTGAGGGGTATGTACATAAGCTTGGACATGTTGATTGCATGCATGCACGGTCCCTTTTGGTGTGGTACTTTAAGAAGATAGGAATGAGAACAGGGTTAGTCCATCTCTAAAAGTCTGAGAATTTGAAATTTAAACCTGGCCTTTTGGATTATTACTTAAGTAGATTTGTCAAGGTAGTAAAGTAGAATATATTTTTTAAAAACAGCTTCTCAACTTGATTAATAACTTAAATATTTGGACACATGGTATGTAAACCTCCATAGCCATTCTTGCCGAGGCTCTGCAAATTTGAAACAGTATACTGTGCAAGGAGTAACAAATTCACACAGATGAGAGTTCACTTTAGCTGTGCCCTTATGTAGTCAGATTTTCCAGACTTCTGTGTAAGAGATGAGGAAATAAGTGGTACAAGTTTCCAAGCATTACATTAACATATATAAGAGACAATTTCCTATATCTGGAGGGTCAACAATTAAGAAGCCATATTAACTGTAATGGTTTCAGTGTGATTTTGAAAAGCTTCTCGAATATGGCAGGCAGAAGTTTAAAGGGACCTTAGTGATCATGCAATCAAATTTACTTAACAAATAAAACGAAGGTTCTCACAGATGAAGCACCTTGGCTAAAGTCACAAAGCTAGTTGGTAGCAGATGATTTATTTCCAGCTCTAACCTCCCAGCTCACTCTTCCACCAATGCTACTTTTCATGAAGATATCTGTTGCCAGTCAATGCAACTACAAAGCTTACACTTGCTTTCATTGTTATGTATCGAAAAGGAAGCAAATACTTTCACTTTAAAAACTGGAGCCACTAGCAGCCCTGCGTGATTTTGCTCAGCGGTTAGAGCATCAGCCCAAAGACCTAAGGGTTGTGGGTTTGATTCTGGTCAAGGGCACATACCTGGGTTGCAGGTACCTGGTGGGGGTCGTGTGTGAGGCAACCAATTGATGTGTCTGTCTCACATTGATGTTTCTCTCTCTCTCTCTTCCACTCTCATCTAAAAATCAATGGAAACATAACCTGGGGTGAGGATTTACAACAAAATAAAACAAAATTTGGAGGCACCTAAAAAAAAACAAGTAAAAAGAACAATATTAGCACTGGCTGGTTTGGCTCAGCTGTTAAAGCGTCAGCTTGTGGTCCAGAGAGACCCAGGTTTGGTTCCCGCTAAGGGCACGTACCTCAGTTGCAGTTTGTCCCCGGCCCTGGTTGGGTTGTGTGGGTGGCAACCACTGGATGTGTCCCTTCACGTCGATGTTTCTCTGTCTCTCTCTGCCCCCCCCCCCCCCATTCTACCTGAACAAAAAAATGGAAAAATGTCCTTGGGTGAGGATAAAACAAAACAAACCCCCCCCCCCCCAATATTAAATTTTGACTCCAAAATATTCTAAAAAAAGAAAATAGAAAAAGGGGTGTGTGTCAAAAATCCAACTTCATTAAGTCACAAGTAACTATTGGCAATCCTAGTTACTTTTAAGTGTTTTCTAGAAAATGAACAGGCAATTTAGGTCTCCCTTTAGGACTTAAAATATCCGACTGGTCATCTCCTGATTAGACTTTTTTTTTTATAGTTTTATTTTTATAGTCCATTTTATTTGACTTTCGATCTCATGTGAGACTTTAGTTATATTAAAATCGTGGTCCTCGTTTTGGTTGCAACCGTATTACTGTAAACCCATCTCCCCAAATTCCCTATCTTCTAAACCAGAAATCAAAGCACATGCTTACAAAACATCCAACACTCAAGATGCTAACTAAATGCTAAGATACACTGGAGAAACCCTTGCTTTTCAAACATCTATAAATATCGCTACCGGATTTTTCTTGGCTAGTCTGAGTTATAATCACTGTGATAAAATTAAAATCTTTAAGGGTCCAATGACAAAAGTTAAAAAAAATCCCCCCCCACGCATACTCTTACCTTCAAGATCAGAAGTAATCCGAAAGTTCTGGGTTTGCAGGAAGTTACCTCCCTCAAACTTTAAGAGTAGACGATTTTAGCAACAGTAACAAATCTTTTCAAAACACCAAGTGACTTTGAGCCCCTCCCATCAATCGACCACGGCCAACAAGAAGGAACGACTTAATTCTCAGAAAGATTTTCCTTTGAGCTGAGCCGAAATTCGGCTTTCTGGGCGCGAAGAGGCAGAGACGAACCAAAAGGACCCAAGGGAAATATGAAGAGAAAGAGATATGACAAAGTAATCGAGGCAGAGACTAGTGCGGCCGGGCAAATTTTGGGGTCCGGAGTGGGGGTTCTTCCCGGACACTCACAGGCCACCGGAGTTCACGCTAGCGACAACTACAAGATACTCCCCTCGCAGCTCTCCGGGCCCCTAGCCGCGCCCAGCGGAGCTGTGACCTCCAAAGCGGGTGCACTTGGCGATCCCGCCTCTTCGGCTTAAGATTCGCACCTTTGATTGGCTTTTAGAAGGATCCCTCGGGATAGCTCGCCCAATGAAGAGCCAGGCCGATGCCCGGACGCTCCGCCCCTTCCCACCCCTCCCCCGCCCCTCGCTGGGGGCCCGCCCCTGCCCCGCGCCCGGGAGCAGAGGAGAGTAAATACAAGAGGAGCGCAAAATGGCGGAACCGCCGAGCCCAGTGCACGGCGCTGCTGCCGCCGCCACGGTCTTGGGGAAAGAACCATTTGGCAAGCTGCAGACCGCCTCCCGGGACCCACCGGGTCCTCTGTCCGCCAAGAAGGTCCGGACTGAGGAGAAGAAGGCGCCGCGGAGACTAAATGGAGAAGGGGGCAGCGGCGGGAACAGCAGGCAGCTACAACCGCCGGTGGCACCTTCGCCTCAGAGCTACAGCAGTCCCGCGCCTTGGAGCTTCGCCTCTCTGTCTGCTGCCCCGTCCCCGCCCTCTGCTCGGAGCAGTTTCTCTTTCCCCACTAGTACAGCCGCGCCGTCTTCAGCCTCTGCTTCCTCGTCCCAGCCGGTGCCGCGCAAACTGCTGGTACCTCCTACGCTGTTGCACGCTCAGCCTCACCCTCTCCTGCCGGCCGCCGCCTCCTCGGCCAACGCCAAGCCGCGCAGAACCAAGGAGAAGCGAGAGAAGGAAAGGAGGAGGCACGGCCTTGGCGGGGCGGGCGAGGCCTGCGGGTCCGCCCGGGAGGAGAACGGGGAGGTGAAGCCGCAGTCGCGAGGTGGGTGCCCGCGCCCGGAGGGGGAAGGGCACTCTGGCCCCCGCCACCCCGTCGCGCCCGCCGAGTACGGGCTGGGGGAGTGTGGGGGCCGCGTGCACCAGCCTGGAGGGGGCGAGAGGCGTCCGGTTCTCAGCCGGCGATTTTGCAGCCCTCGTGGGGACAGGAAATGGAGCCTGTAATTTCGGTCGCAGCGAGAGGAATGGCCGAAACTCTTATTTTTCTATATGGTTTCTGCCTCTCGGTTAAAACGCTACAGGATTTGTAGAATTCGGTCTAGAAGACCTGCCCAAGAGTGTTTGGCTGTGGAGGGAGATGGGAGAGAACGGGATCGTGAAGGGTTCGTTCTTGCAAAAGACGTTCGATTATCAGACCGTTTAGACTCGATCGTAGATTTCATATTTGTGACAAGGCTCTAGCGCCAGAAAATCCTGTCAAAAAAAGGGGTGTGGAGAGCACTGGCGTCAGCTGGAAGCTACCAGAGGCCTGAGCTTTTCATCCCTATTAGGGAAATGAGGTAGCGTGCAGGGCCCGAAGTGTGTGCTGTTTCGTAAGGTACCCTCCCTCCACTCTCCTTTCCGCTCCTTAGGCGTGTGTTTTGAGTGGTCCAGTTTGAAATACCATCCTTCAGAAAGCATTTTCAGCCATATTCTTTTTTATTTTTTTTCTGCAGCAAACGATAAAATCAGAATCATTAACGTTTTGGGGCTAGAGCAAGTTGCTGCAAAGTGTTTTAGCATCAGAAAAAGCAAATTGTTATGCATCCTTTTCAAACATGGCTAGACAGTTTTAAAATGTAGGCTAGCCATATAATTTTCAGAAAACATTTCTTTAAAATAGATGGTCCTATGTTTTTAGCTATTGGTACACAGGGATCTTACAGTGGGAAAACGTGGAGACTGGTTGAAAATAAGATCTTTATGTGATCAGAAGCTTAAAGTATATAATGGTCTTTAAATATACATTGATACACAGTATTGTTAACGTATTTTTGTTTGTTTTGAAAGGAAAAATGAAATTGTCACGCAGTTTTAGTATTGCTGATCTAATGGTAGCTTACATCATGAAAAGTTCTCTGTATATTTGAATTAGAATTGATGTTCTCACAATTTAACAAAAAAATGCTGTAAATGAGCATGTAGCAACAGTTACTAGTTACTTCTTCCTTGATGTTTTGCCTGTGATACAGCTTTGACATCCAAGCATAGCCATCAGGTATTCTGGCGCAAGGTAAAGATCTCTCAGCTTCTGCTTCTAGGAAAGTGATTTTTATACTACTTTTTTTGTTGTTAATTTTCATTTGAGGATATTTTCACATTGATTTTTAGATGGAGTGAAAGGGAGAAAGGGAGGGGGAAGAGAGAGAGGGAGAAAGAAAGAGAAAGAAAGAGAAAAAAACATCCAAGTGAGAGAGACACGTTGATTGGTTGCCTCCTGCACCATCCAGACCCGAGTGGGATCAAACCTGCAACCCCTGTACCTGCCCTTGACTAGAATCAACCCCCAATTTTTCGGTCTTCGGTTTTCCGCTGACTCTAATCGCTGAGCCAAACTGGCCAGGGTTTATACTACTTTTAATCTGAAATTTTAGTTGGTTAATATTTTAAAGCTATTTTGTTTTAATGGTTACATTTAAAAGTCATAAGTGCCTGGAAGTCTGTGCATTAGGATATGTAGACAGTGTTTGCTTTTCTACGTTCTTTTAATGAGGAAGTGAATATCGGTATAACATTGTCAATGAATTGGAATGGCTGAAAATAAGTAAGCATTCTTCAACAATTCTTACTTAAAATATGGAGCACATAAAGTGTTCCTTAAAGTGAAATGGGGATTAAAAGATAAAATTTTCTAGTCTTTTAAATTTCATTTAGAATCCTTTTGAAGGCTACAGCTTACCTTATTAAGTCTGAATATAAGCATTGATAATTTTACATTAAGATGTGAGGAAGATGTTTTTCCATGACCTATTTAGGTTTTTATTGACTAGTGACTAAATATTAACACAAGATTTTTTTTTTTTTTTTTTGGGTAGAAATGCTGCTATTTTATTGAGGAAAAAAATAAATCAAAGAGGATTGCTTTTTAGTATCTTGATGGTAAATTTAATGGTGAAAATATTTCAGTCTTAATTTGAGAAGTGCTTATGTCCTAAAGCTCAGATATAACTGAATTAAGGTTCTGTTTTAATCAACTAAGGTTATTAAGCAACAGTGGTATTAAAATAGCAAGATTATATATATGCACTCAATATAGTTATAATTGCAAATATAAAAGTTAATTTGTATTACAGTTCTTATTTCTCTGGGCTTTTTGCAAAAATCTTAGAGAATAGATAACTGGGTGTCTTGTTTTAGGTATATATACCTAATTTTTAGTGTTACTCTAAGCTGGATAGTTCATAGGATAGCACATAGTGAACCCCCTCAGTTATTGATTGAACAATCTCAATCAGAACAACGTTAGTTATCAAGACACCAAAGCAAGGAATAGTTCCTTCAAAAAACAAAAATCACAATGATCTAGCCTCTCAACCTCTTTAAGCATTTAAACTCCTTTGTTTATTTGTAGTAGAGTTTTCTTTTTTTTTCTTTATTGATCTTTAGAGTGAGAGAGAGAGAGAGAGAGAAACCTTGATGAGAGAACATGGACTGGCCGCCTCCTGCATGCCCCCCAGTGGGGACGGGGCCCACAACCCCGGCATGCACCCCCACCGGCAATCGAACCTGCAACCTCCCCGGCAACTCCCTGGTGCATGAGTTGACACCAAAGCCACACAGGGCTAGAGTTTTCTTTTTAAGTCTTTAATAACAGCTGCTAATTCTTTTTTAAATTTCCCACAGAGGATATATATATATTTTTTCTATTTATCTTCAGACAGAGTGGGAGGGAGAGAGAGAGACATCTACGGGAGAAGGATGCCTCCTGCAGGACCCTGACCAGGGACAAGCCACAACCAAGGTACTGGCCCTTGACCAGAATCAAATATAAGACTCTGGCCCGCAGGCCGACCCTCTAACTGCTGAGCCAAACCGGCCGGGGCAGAATTGCTAATTTTTTTACATTGGCTACCATTCTAACTGAAATTATTTGTATTATTATTAATTATTGTCAGGGCACTTAGTAAATCTTATTTGAGTCAGAAGCGTGATAATTTGTTTTTCTTAACTTCATAAAAAATTAAAAGGTAGCCCTGGCCGGTTTGGCTCAGCGGTTAGAGCGTCGGCCTGCAGTCCAGGGGGACCTGGGTTCAGTTCCCGCTAAGGGCTTGTGCCTCGGTTGCAGTTTGTCCTTGGCCCTGGTTGGGTCGTGTGGGTGGCAGCCACTCGATGTGCTGATGTTTCTCTCTATTTCTCTCCCTCCCACTCTATCTGAACAAAAAATGGAAAAATGTCCTCGGGTGAGGATTTAAAAAAAAACAAAATGAAAAGGTAGGTCAATTCAGATAGAGGAAGGATTATTGACAATAAATGTGAAAGTTAAGAGTGATGAACAACAGAATTAATTAAAGCATACCAGTCTAGGTCCACATAGGTTAATGCTTACAATGTAACCTAAAGCCTCTGTTACAGTGCTGTACCTGTCTTGCATGATAGCCTGAGTTGTCAAGTAAAATTTAAATTTTTTGTAAAAAGAAAGTATGCAGAACATTTTAGATTTTTAAAACTAGAAAATAGCCAGGCTTTGGTGCTTATAGAGGTAATCTGCTGAAGAGTTCACAGCCCATTTTCCTGTTAAGACTAAATACATTACTGAATCAGTAAATATGGAAGTAAAAGTGGGACATGTACTGAAGGTATCTTAACATTTAGAGTTATAACAAACAACACAACAAACATATTAGATAACAAAATGCCTTAGCTGATTCCAGTAACCAATAAAACTTATATAGATCATCTAATTTTTGTTAGTTTTTGCTTTGCATTTATTAACATTTTTTTCTTAGATTGATCCTGTGAAATATTCCAAGACAACCAGAGCATTTTACTGAATTTTTTACTTAAAGTGTAGTTAACAGAATTTAACTGTAATGGAAATAGAGGTTTTTCTTAGAATGGAATAATTCAAGGTATGTAAATGTCAGTGATTTTAAAGGTTTTCAGTGTCTTGATGTTCATCTATGTTCAAAGGTTTTTCAAATTAGACTATTCTCCATGTTTCTAATATTATAATTCTACAATTTTAAGTTAAGTTTATATTCAGTTTTCATTAATATGACCAAATATTTGTCACTGCTGGGATAGTTTGTTATGATTTCATTTTCTTGTGTAACCTATTGTTTTTCATACATCGTTTTTTCATTTGGTTAGTTTTGTCTGGCAAAGTCTTTCTATATCCTTCAGCAGCTTCATAAAATGCTTCTCAGCACAATTTTCCACATGGTCAGATCTGTCAGATATACTTACCAGTTCCATTTGTTCCTGTAGTCATCCATCCCTTTTGTAGCTGTCCTTCTTCCTGCTTTGGTCTGCATTATTTCCTTTTAGGCCTGCTGCACAGCTGTCATCTTGGGACTTGCAGTACCTGACATTCTGGAAATTTCTTTCACTTCATTTGAGTCCCTTTTTTCTGGATCCCATGCCATCTTTTTGGTTTCTTTCTTCATTTTGGTTTCCTCTACTATTACTATGAAAGACTACATGGGAGTATTGTTTTGGGATTTTATTTTTATCTGCACACTTGAGTGTTTGGCTATTGAGAGATTTCTGAGTTGAAAATTATTTTCCCTCAAAAGTTTGGAGGTATTCCCTTATTGCATGGCTTGCAATGTTGAGGTTTCAAAATTTTTTCTGCAGAAAGTTGTGTTATTTTTAACTATCTGGGAGATTTGAACCCTTTCACTGAATTTTAACATTTCAGGTATCTTTAAAAAATGTTTTATAAACTCTTGTTCATTGTTCCTGTATTATAGCATCTTGTTCCTTTTTCACAGGGTACAACATCTTCAAGGATATTATCGTTTCTTTGACATGTACTTCTGTTCCTTGCATTGTTTTTGGTTCCTC